AACATAAAAATGAACGGCTGGCAGGAAAGTTGACATTTTAAACCTTACTAAAAAAATCGATACAGGGCTTTAGAATATCGATACAGTATCGGGAAATGAAATATCGCGATATTTCAATGTATCGATATTTTCTTACACCCCTAGTACGTTGTGAAAGATGATCTGTATGATGATCTCCCATGCTGGCAAAAAGAGTCAGAATGAGAGGCTGTGGTGCAAAATAAGTGAAAAGGTTTTTCTTTTTAATCTTGCTCAAATCGCAGTTTTCTTACAGGTAACCATTTTTCTGTGATGCAGCACCAGAAAAATCCCTCCTTATAATGTGTGGTGTCAGGGAATGATCATTTTAAATATAAAAACCACAATTCCTGATGACATCACTCCAGACAAATAAAACTCAGGTGAATTAGCTCCTCACCATGTGATAAATCAACWAATTTGAACAAACTACTGATAATTTTGAAGCATTTGAGAAATTGAGATGAACATTTTGAAAGTAATAATTAATATTGAAAAATTACTGACTGGCATCTTGTTTACATTATAAAAATTCCTAGTATTATGCGGGTCTTGTCACAAATCTCTATCATTCTGATTTTGCGGGATTGTATTTATTGCTTTAGATGACAAAAACATGCACACTAAATTTAAATTAATGCATGATCACTCCTTTAAGAATTTAAGCATTAATACACTGACACAAAAATTATTTAAGCATCAAAACAGAATTTTATATATAATTTGTTCATTTAAAAACAATTTCATGGCCTATAGATAGTTACTGTATAAATTGCAGCAGCTGTTTCATTTTATCAGGTTACATTTTAACATGGTCGGATTTATTTTATTTTGAAATCTTTTACCGGAAACCTGTTTAACTACGTGTCAACAAACTTGACGCCATTAGAGGGTGGAACTACTGCTAAGCTAGCAGGCTAACGCAGACGATCCACGATCTCACTTTCTGTAAATAAACTCCAAAAACTTTGGGATTTGTTCAGAACTCACTGTGAAAACACGGAAAGTCAAAAGGTGCCGCCTGTTTGTGAAAGGAACAGAGTGACTCACCATTATTGTAGAGTTAAAATCTCCTAAAGCTTCAGCTGCTTCTGTGTATGGCAGAAAGGCTTCACTGTTTTTTTTTGTGCTGTTTGCTGACGTCATCTTATGACTGGTGGTTTGTCCAATCACGAACAGCCGCCCCCTACTTCAAAAACGGCCAAAACATATTAGACCAAAAAACAAAATACTTTTTGTAAAACACAAGGCAACACGTTTTAGTTCATTGAATGCAGGGCAGTGGTTTAAAATGTCCTTTTTACTCATCGTACCATTTTCCTTATCTAGCTTTTTGCTACTTTCAGCTCTTTGGTAACATTTGGCTGTTTTATGATAGCATTTTGCTAAATTAGCTCTTCGCTAGTCTTTGCTTCATTTAGCTTTTAGCTAACCTTTCAATACTTTTAGCTTGTACTTGGCTATTTTCAGCTTCTAGCTTCTATTTGGCTACCTATTGGTAGCCTTTTGCTAATATTTAGCATATCTTTTCTAGTACGCTAAAAAGCTAAATGAAGCAAACTTTGTTTAGCTTTCAGTTAGCCATTACTACTTCTAGCTAGCTGTTTATGTACATTTAGCTCATAGCTAAACTTTTGATGCTTATAGCTACCATTTAGCTAATTGTAGCTTTTAATTAGTTTTGATACTTTTAGTTATCTTTTTTGCAATGTGTTACTAGCTTTTTTATACAATTAGCTTTCAGCTACTGTTTGTTACTTTACATACTATTCTAGTAARGATGTTGCTACTTCCAGCTACTTTTGGCTTTTAGTCAGAGATTAGTTTTTGTTTTTTATCTACTGATTTTCTATTCTTAGCTTTTAGCTAATGTTATGGTACTTTTAGGGTTTACTACTTTTAGCTTGTAACTAACTTTTTAAATAATCTCAGCTTTTTGTTGTTTTGATTCTGTTAACTTTAAGCTAGCATTTTGCAATCAGCATCTCGCTAGCCCTTTATTTTCAGTTAGCTTTTTGCTACTTTTAGCTAGCCTTTTACTTTTAACTGTTCAGCTAGTGTCGTGCTATTTTTAGCTTGTGTTTTGATCGTTTTAGTKTCATAGTCATATAGCGCTAATTATTTACAAAGCTTTAGATTTCTTCTCCAGTTTTTCACAAAGACGGAAGTTACACATGTGTCTGTGCACGCGCTCACCAGAGCACGCCCCTTTTTTACGTCATAAGGGTTTCGCGTGCGCGTTTTTCCCCTTCAGGAGTTATTATGGTTGGGTGAGCGTTAGCCTACAGCCTCAAAAAGCTGGCTAACTCGATTTTTACAGCCAAATAAATCGTCTTTCTGTCAGTTAAAGGTAGTCCAGCTCCAGGTCAGGTAAGATAAAAATGCGTTTTTTAGTGTTTTATGTTTGTTTTTACTCACCATTATCTGAGCTGAACAAACGTAAACTAACTGAGTTAGCTGGTGTGTTAGCTAGGTCGGTAGCTAAGTCTGTAACATTAGTTATTTCGACATTTGTTTTTATAAGTATTCTTTGTAACATTTCAGTAATGTCGCGTCATTTCAAGCCCGTACTGGATTTTGTGAATCATCAGAGATGGAAACATTACTCAGAGCTGACCTGCCCACCATGATTTGACAGTTAGCGTCATTAAAGGCCCACCACTCCTTCAGTGAATGCATATCGCCCGCTGTTTTACTAGACTCAAACTAATCCATGAACATAAATGACAAAGTTAGTTATTATAGTAGTAGCATAGTATAGTAGTTATTTTAGTTAAACCTATCGCAGGGTGTCACGCTCAGAAAGTATGTTGAGGTTGATTCTTCTACCACGTCAAATTTGAGCTTCATCTCTGTAAATTTGAGTTATTTATTGTGTTTGCTGAAGGTAGTTAGCGGTGGCAGCCATCTTGAATCGAGATGACTTAATTCAGACGTCAATCATTTGTAGATATACGTCCTGTCACTGTTTTTGTTTCCTCTGATTCATGAGCTGTTTTGTTAGCAGAAGAACTTTGTTAGTGGATAATAAATAYACAACACTGACACAAGTTTTATCCTCTTGATTTAGGTCATGGCAGATTTTTCGGTAAGTTTAAAGAATTGTACGTTTATATTTTCTAGTGATTGTTTTCCTGGTAATGAGTGTGTTGTTGTGTTTTGTGTAGCTATCCGATGCTTTAGGAGACGACACACCAAGCAAAGCTAAAAAAATCGGCAACACAAATCCTTCTGTGCCTGCCAGCAACCCTCCACCTCCTTCAAACCCAGGATGGCCCGGTTCTGCCCCCGGAGCTCCCAGTCAGCCCTCAGCACCGGCTGACTTCAACAGTGGGATGTCTGGCCCTGGGGCCCCGGGGCCATTTTCATACCCCTCTGGTCCAGGAGCACCAGGACCATATCCAGGACCTCCTTCAGCACCTGGTGGATTCCCTGCTGGTCCTGGAATACCTGGGCAGTATCCACCTGTACCAGGAGCTCCAGGTCAGTTCCCGTCCGGTCCCGGGGCACCTGGACAGTTCCCTGGGCAGTATCCATCAGAAGGGGCTCCAGGACAGCTGCCTGGAGGTCCAACTCCTTACCCAGCTGGTCCGTTTCCTTCTGGCCCTGGAGCTCCTCCCGGACCTTATCCGAATGTGCCTTTTCCTGGTGCTCAGCCACCAGGAGGGAACGGGTTATATGGACCAGGAGGTCCTGGTGCATTCCCACCTCCAGCCGGTCCTGGGTCTTTTCCAACATTCCCTTCTGGTGGGTTTCCCCCAATGCCACCTGGGTCATGGGGTCCTGCAGGTGGAGGATTCCCACCTGCTCCTGGCCACTTTGGTTCCGGACCTGGGCCTATGGGTCCGTATGGGGGCCCAGCTGGACCAGGAGGCACATTGGTAAGTACTTCAAATAAAAAGTATGTTGCCTGCATGCATGTCACCTTTCCTCTCTGGTGTACCTTTGCTCTGGTACTGGGTGGAGACTCATGTTTGGTGTAGTCTTTGGACTCAGATACTGGTACACAGAAACCAGTTGTGTTTCTGTTGTCTGGTTTCAGGTGAGGGCCGTGGTTTGTTCTCAGCTCCCTCTCTTGGCTTCTGCTGGGGTTCAATGCAAATCTAAACCCTCCGTATTAATTGATGAGAAGGAATCAATGAAAATCTATTCTTGTCTTTCAGCCCAGATATAATCCACCGTTTTATTGAAAGCAATGAGCTCAACTTTTCACTTGGACTCGGACGTCACCCCCAGCAGCAGCACGTGGTTTGATTAGTGCCAAAAACTGAATCCGGATTTGATTTGACTCGATGCAAGCATAATGTCTACATGTAATCAAAAATGTACAGATCATGTTTACGGTATTATCTATCACATATTTTATACAATTACAGTTCAGCTTCAGCACTAACTTGTCACTTACATGCATGGTTATTATTAAAATGTTGCTTTGTTGAATTGTAAATGTAAAAATGACCTTTTTTTCTTTAATTGCCTTGATAAATCTTTGGGACGTGGGTCAGAATAAGTGAAGCACAGAATGACTCAGTGATGCAGAGTCAACAGTTTTCATTAATTATTACCTGAACTCACTTTATGATATTACTAAATGAGTCTGCTCATTTTTTTGAAACAATGTTCTGTCTGTTCGTTATCAGTATCACTCAGGGAGCACGGACAATGAAGAAAAAGGTGAAAGTCTTCATCCAGGCAAGGCCAAACCCTGACCTGAATTTAAAAGGGATCCAGCATTAGTTGTAACATTAGACTTTATTTAATAAACATATATTTAAACTGTAAAATAAAGACGGTAAAATTACTGTAGGCTGTTTAGTTTCGTAAATTTTTTAAAAATAGTACACGGATGGAGCCATTTTATTTACACACAAAGCATTCTGGGTAAATGATGACGTGGATAGGTCCTCGGTGCGAGGCTGCTAGCGAGCTATATCCA